TACAACATTCAACTTCAAATGTTTTTAAAAGCWAAATTAGGTGCACAAGTTTGARTTTYTTGTGAARTTACTCTAAGCCACACAGGGTGAAWGTTGTACATTGATTAGATCTTTTTAATAATGGGTGCTGAAGATTTTAGAACGCCTTTTACTTGACAACACAAAGACCTATTAATTACTCAATATATGAACTCTGCCAGTTCTGCCAACAACAGTGATCAGAGTACTACTGACGGCTACAATAAATGTGTGGTGTAGTATACACTGCTGAGGAACATTTACATAAATATTAGTGGGAATGTATGAATTTTTGAACCTATAAGTTTTATTACTCAGGTTTTATTAAGAACCCTTGAGAAAATCCACCATAAATTAAAAACTGTGCACAATTTTTTTTAATCATTGAAGTTGAATGTTATAAAATCCATTCCTCCCCAGGAAAACACAAGCTCAAATTAATAAARAACAGCCAGAAATTAACAAGATGTTTGTGCCCTTGATGAGTGGATGTACACGTCTAACCACAACTGTTTGACAAATGCTGCAATATGGGAGTTCGGTAATCCCCTTRTGATACAGGCCTACTTTGGTTTTCTAATTTTTCAGTTGATATCACTAATTGAAAACAGCACAGTCACTGCTCAGCTCACTGAAGCTTGTCCTCCCTTCTCTTGAATTCATATTCATAAACAATATTATGCATCTAACCTCCTGAGACCCTGCACCCTCACACGAAGATGTTGGCTTTCTGTTTCTGCGCCACATTTTGTTCTGTTCAACTTTACATGCTGGTATACAGAGAGACTAGCTTTTAGGTTTTAACTTTTCAACATCTAGGAGAAATTCAAAATGCTCACCAAACAAAAACCTGTGACTTGAGAGGATAAGTCCAGGGGGTCCCTGTGAGTGGGCAGCACATTTATGGGAATGGTCATTACCTTACTTGTTCTCATTTGGTGGCAACCCCTGATTTTTTCTTCAAAAGTGTTTTTCTGGATTTTTCCGCCCGTATTCATTCACCCCTGGTTGCGTTACATCATGTTTCAGTCATTTACCTTTTTATGTTTCTTTCTTCATTTTTTTGTGTTCATTCTTTTCTGCCTCTGCCGTCATTTTGTTCATATTGTACTTCTCCAGTGGAAATCTGAAAGCACAGAAAAACTGAAGAAAAAAAAAGACCTTGTCCATTAGAGCTGTTCAGTAATCTTTTTATTTCCGTGTTTTATTATCTTGGAACCTTAACTTAGGCCAAAATGTAATCTCCCCTCCCCCATCCCCCCTCCCTCCTTGGGCATTCAAGGATAATTTGCACCACCAGAATATTTTTTTCTTTCTCATTCATGTCAGAGCCCAGTAACTGTGATATTAGCAGCAGTAAAAAGGACACGGTGACAAACAAGAGTATATAACCCAAATCATATATCTGTTTGTTATGAAATCAAGTTTTTGTTGATTTTTTTCATATCTTTTAAAAAAAGTTGACACAGATGACATGATGCTGGTTTCGTGAAACCTTCGAAGACCCTGCACCACACGGCTGCACACACAAACTGGACTTATTTTCTAACAAGAACTCTTGAGATGCTGTTTTATGAAATATCAGACTAATAATATTTCATTCGTTATCTACATTTATTAAACCAGGTTCGTAAAGGGTCGGCACTCTGAGTGGAAGAAATGAGGACGACACAAGAATTCACACACAAAGACTGGAGCTGCTAGAAATCAATAGTGTCAATTTATTATTTCCCCACAGCAACAGCAAGCAGCGCATTCAATGCTTACACTCACAGGTTGATGCAAAATAAAAACAGAAACACAAAGTTCTCACCTGAATGACGRAGGATTAGAGAGCCCGATGATCTCAAGGTTCGAACACAGGCATCAACGGGATGACCGCGCGTCTGGATCCACTGACCGTCGGTCCGACTCTAAATCTGGGTGTGTCTGACTCCCCTTCTTATCCCCTCAAACTTCATGAGTGTGTATGTACGCACGGACCTGGCCAGTGTCCGCACGTATACCCACTGACTTCATGAGGAGACAATCTGAACAACTCAGGCCCAGCCAGATACAGTAAAATACAGCTTCAACTTGGCTTTACTTCTTAAAAGCATGTCAAAGTGATAACAAGGGCCAGGCGCTGAAACATCTTCACTTCTTCAAAACATGTCAAAATGATAACAAGGACCAGGCGAAACAACTCCAAATTTGGCTCAGAGAGCKATGTCAGGATGAGAAACACTTGTTTGAACTCTTAATACTGAGAAATAAATGTGCATTAATCAAAGAACATAAAAACAGAAAACCTTGTATGGTTTATATACTGGTTTAAACTCRTAATACTGAGAAGTAAATGTACATTAATCAAAGAATATTTTATTCTTATATCAGATGCTACACATAAGCAAAGGTCGAAAAGTCATACTTGGTTGAATTCTTAAATTCAGTCTAAAACTTTTTAAAAGCTACAGTAAGCCTGAAGATTTCCCAAACACATTAGCATCTGAGATTTCTTTCTGTTTCCAGAAAAAAAAATTCTCGATCCATCTGTAAGTTAAACAGAATCGAGCCGCTTGTGATCAGGCATGATTAGAAGTGCCTTTGTATACTGCTATGAGCTAAATATTTTATTGACTTTGTAAAATGTACATGTACTGTATGTGATGTTGTGGGATAATGGAGTTTGTGTGTCTGTTTTTAGTTTAGGAACATGAAGAAAATAAAGCTGTTGATGAGAAATGATGTAAGATTTATTGACTTAGTTTGATCCAGAGTTGCTGAAGTAATTGTTGCTGTGTGTGTTCTATCTCACAAACTACAGGACAGATTTTAATGAAAGTAATCACTTGGTTAGCCTGATAAAAACCAGCCCCTTGTTCTACGCTTTGCTTCCTACAGAGGATCTGAACTCTCGGCTATTGAGAAACGATTTCTTYTTGGAGACGTGGACTCTGTTGAAGTTTAAAAGGATTTGATCCAATTTTACCCAACTGCTAAGGTTTGGACGTGACGAAAGTAGTGCACCAGCTCCATCCTGAAGGAAGCTAAGCTAAGAAGCTAACTGGATAATGCGTGCTCTGTAAACAAGCATCCCCTACTGGGAAAAGAGAAGTACCGAGCTGAAGGAGATGGCTGTAAATGAGTGCTGCAGGCTTTGTGAGACAAATTTTATTTAATCTGGAAGCCTTGTCAACACCTTATAACTCCTCCTTCTTTTTACTGATCGGCCTGGTTGAAATCCTAAGAAGAATTTGAAAAAAATCCTTGTCAAAGGGAGAAAGTCCAGACAGAGCAGAGAGATTAGAATTGAGCGGAACTGCAGAAGAAGGCAAGGGCCAGGCTATCACATGGTACACATGTGGATTCAACCTGATTCAAGATGGCTGCCACACCAAACTGTCATTAGAAAACATAAAAAAATGACTGAATAAATTCTACTGATTTAGTGAGGTATTAGAGAATGAAATCAATGTGTTGGGAATGAGAATCACTGAACATCAAGCATCCATCAAGGCAACAAACGATCAGTTGTTAGGCTGATGGTCCTCCCTTTGCATGTGAACAACCAGCTCTGTGTGTCATAGGTAAACTCGTTGATCCACTGCACTAAGGTTCTGCTTATAACTCTTAGCTTCAGCCCTTCAGACTGAGTCTTTTGTATAAACCCATCCAGGATCTGACTGAACCTTGTTGGAAAGCTCTCAGAAAGACGTGATTTGACATAAATCTACAACCCATACCAAGATGTTTTATAAAATGTTTTGCTCACAGTTTGATTAGAATTTGCTATTTGAATAAATAACTAAAATAAACAGAAATGAATAAGCAAGTCTTAATTCCAAAACAATTGGTTCAAATAAAAAGTCTTGCAAAAAAAATAATAATAATACGAAAACATGAACTTGAAGATAACTCTGTGGAATATGTTTGACTTTGATAAACCAGAATAATTCTAACGCTCAGCTTTGTTCACATTTGTAAAGGAACATAATTAACAAATGTGTTCTGCATTAGAAGTCAATGTGAAGCATTTTTGTCTGTTTTAATAACAAATCTCTACTTAAAATCATTTTGATTTTGGGGCAGAATGAACACTTCCTAAAGCTAAAGCAGCAGGAGTTACAGTGTTTTTAGTTCATTCAGCAGGAGGAAAGGAAAGTCTCCAATTAAAGGACCCAAACTTTTCGACTCTACATGTAGAAAAACAGGAATGTCTGAGAAAGTTGGAAAAATAAAATGTGCCTGTGGCTGCTCGCTGCTGAAATACTCATTATGAAGGTTGTTTCAAAAGAAAAAAAAAACTAAAAGACTCCTCCTCATACCTCCATGTGACACAGAAAATTATTCCTAACTGCATTTTGAAGAAGCAACTTCATCATTATCATTTAAATATATGTTTGAGTCATTTATTTTCTAATGCTTCATCTCCTTTATTTCAAATTCCTGAATTGAATCTGTTGTTTGTTTGTTTGTCTGTTTTTTCCAGGGACCAATTCAAAGTGTGTCTCTGGTGTACTTACTTCCTGGTTTATTCTTGACGGCCCAAGATGGGAAATAAAAAAAAAAGGAACTTGAGGAGTCACAAAAGGGCCGGAGGAGACTTCAAAGGCTACAGATGAATCTTTGTCATTGTAGTTCTGATTGGTGCTGGAAGGGAAATCGCCCCGGGCCAGTCTCAAGGCTCCTTCCTTTGCACATTTTAATTCCTCCAACAGGATRTTAGTGCAGCTCTAATGTTCTACGTAAATGCAGCAAATAAATAAGCCAAGTGCTTCAGAGTATAGCTGCTTTAAATGTAATAAATTAATACCTGATTAGTTGTGTGACACAAAAAGGTTTTAATGACTCCTGTGTGCCTCAGTAGAGGGACTTGGGTAATATTCATTATCTTTTTTTATGTTTTGTTTTTCAAAAAGACATGAATACAGCAGGATGACCCATCATCAAACCCCCTCAGCTTTTCCTGACAACAAACGACAAATTGTGACGTCCGCTGATTTGTCGAGCCAAAACATTTAATACACATCATCGCTGGAGACATGCACTTTGCAGCACTTCACACAGTGCACTTTTTCTCAACTGTAGCTCCTGTTTAAAAAAAAAAGGAAAAAGAAAGAAACACATACAAACTTTAAAATAATTTAAAACAAAACACATATTAGAAAAGGGGAGATACATCAATTTTTTTCATCTTGTTTTGTTTTTACATTTTCAAAATACTGCTTTGTAAAATAAAAATCACAGAAATTAGCTTTGAACACAGAGCAAATGATAGGAAGAATTACACCAATACTGTGCTGGTTGATAGTTAGCAGGGCGGGGGGAAAGAAAAAAGAAAGAAAATTTGTGAACTGGTGACATCTGAGAGCAAATGTCACAGAGAGGACAAGGGTTTGGGGAGGAAAAGAAGAGTTCATCAATAGAGGAGGAGGAGGAGGAAGGCAAGGGGGAGGGGTGGGATGTCTATATATATATATGTGTCTCTTTGTAATGAGAAACAATCCAAGTGTGCTGAAGGGCAGAGTGGTCGATCGCTAGGCGTAGAAAGTCTCTACTTTCACTGTCTGGCAGAACATTGTCATGGAGAAGACCAGACCCAGAATCTGCAGAAACACAAGAAACAAATCGGTCATTAATGGACGTGTCCCGTGTCCTCTCTGGAAAGTAACAGCGAAATTAAAAAGGAGCTCATTTTCTGCACCGTAATGTACCTGTTTGACCATAAATCCCCCCTCGAAAGATCCATTTTCTGAGATGTTTTTTTCAAAACTCCATTTCTTAGGTAACAATAAGAGAATCCACCCACAGCTGCCTCTGCAGCATTCATTGATTAAATATCGCAGAATTTATTATTTTTTTTATTGCACCTTCATTTCAGCATCTGCATTAATATTCTATTTTCTTTGATGTTTCTCAGAACTTTGTAAGTTTTGCTTTATGTAAATCCGGGCATAGGCTGCTGCTGCAAGACTGATTTTATTTACTTATATAATCTACATCAAACGGTGCACTTCTGGTTCTATTTTTAAACAAAATGTTGCATTTTTTTTTAAAAACAAATAAAGCTGTATTATGACTTTTTCTTGTTCTTCAAAAGGGCATTTCCTTATGTATCCAGCACATTTCCTCACCTTCGGGTCACTATTGCACTAAGAAAAGTAAATAAAAAAAAATCAAGTATTGATGGAGAGAGAAAAAATGTGCAGAAGTTGCTATATCAATACAGCAATCCATTATTCTGTGAGTCTCCACATGCAAGAGAAAGATTTTTGTGTTCTTTAGTCTGCCTCCTCACAACATGAGTGGAGCCTTTGCTAGACATTTTTAGATGATTGCAAGGTTTTTGTTTTGGGGCAGAAAAGATTCAATTCGCACTACAGAGCAGGATTTTATGAATAATAAAACGTGTGATTCAATTTAATTCCGGCCCAAACAATCATTTTAAACTCCCGGGGATGGTAACGAAGGTCTAAAGTGGTCGTTAATATTGGAGCTTTGACCTTCAGCCCTGCAGCTTAATGAAGAGCCCCTACATACCTATTGTTGTACAAATGAGAATAAAAAGGAGCTGTGCATGTAGAGCGTTTTGATGATGAAAAGCACTCTATAAGTGTGTGACTAAGATATTTAAAGACACGTTGTAAAGCATATTTAGAGCCAATACACAGTTTAAATGAAATTACATTGTCTGTGGACCATTTATTCATCTGATACAAATGATACAACAGTGAGAACTGAACTGAAGGTAAAAATCAAGTAAAAACATAAAAGTAGTGAAAGTGGAAATGTGTTTTTATATTTGACTCAGACACTAGTGCTGACCATTGACTTTGCCACAGGTATTAGTAGAAATGTGATAATTCAAATCTTTAAAAACGGCTCTTTAAAGCAAACYTCGGGACCTGAGTCATAGACAAATGAGAGGCGTTACATTCTCCGTTGTGGCAGAGTGGTTTGGGGGGGTCGTCCTGTAACTGGTGAGTTACCAGTTTGATCCCCCACTTCAATCATCTCAGTCGTATTTTTGGGCAAGACTCTTTACCCACCTTGCCTGCCGATGGTGGTCAGTGGTGGCGCCGGTGCATGGCAGCCCCGCCTCTGTCAGTGTGCCCCATGGCAGCTGTGGCGACAGTGTAGTTTACACCCATCAGTGTGTGAATGGGTGAATGATTGAAGTGTGAAGCATGGGGGTCCGTAGGGACTTGATATGGCGTTATATGTATATTATATACAGTATAAGTTCGATCCATTTACCGTTTTTTCTTTCCTTTTTGTGATTTCTTCGTGTTTTCTTCCTGAGATGCAGGCACTTGTCTGAGAGAAGCGCAGTACTTGTTGAATGTGGGAAACATGGGCTCAAGTGTGTGTGTGTGTGTGTGTGTGTGTGTGTGTGGTGGGGTGCACTTGACAAGTCATGTGTCACTACAGATGTGACGTAGGTCATAACCATTCAAAATTAAACAGCTCTTTGAAATMAACAGATCTTCCAGATCCAGCTCCCCTCTAAGAGACGTATCCTGTCTGTATTACACAGAAACATGTGATGTGTGCCTGCTCAATGGAGCAGGTGGAGCAGCTGCTCAATAATATTTTAAAGTGGAGGTGAAAACTTCTTTTTCTTTAAGTGCCAGGTAGTTCTTTAAACCAGTGGTTCCCAAACTTTTCAGCTTTTGACCCATAAAATACCAGCAGCAGAAACGTGTGACCCCAGTTGTTGTTGGTTGATGAACATTGTTTTCACGTCAAATAAACAAGAGCATAGTAACAGTATTTACTACACTATTGTTGTCCATTTTAAGTAAACTAACTCTACTTTTTTGTAACAACAAAGGCAAAAATAATATTGACAGATGTAATTTTTTGTGTAATTAATTCAGAAAATATTTTCAGGACCCCACCTTGATGTTTTGGGACCCCACTGTGGGTCCCGACCCCAACTTTGGGAAACACTGCTTTAAACTATTACAACCATGTTGTATCTTTTTCTGAACATATGTCTAGACTATCTGTAGACTAAAAGTAGAAGCTGTCTATGTCTGTTTCATATTCAACTCTGGTTTGTTGAATACGAAAACAAAGTGAGAATCTGGGATTCAAGATCTCAGCTCTATTACATCATCCAGTCATGTTTTAAATATTATTTCTCTCTCTTCAACATAGAGACCAGTAGCACTTACATTTTACATTATTCCTCATTTTGTTTCCCCTTTTAAAGACACATTCAAGAGCTTGTGGGCAATTTTAGTAACTAGTTGGAGATACAAAATTGTCAGACAATACACAATATTTTAATTGAATCACATTGAACTTATATTATTGACATGATTTGGGTCAGAAGTCACAGAGTTCATATCACATAAATGTTAWGCTCATTTCTGTTTTGCAATTTAGTCACGATGTATATTAATTATGTCTCAGTCCAATTTTTTTGTCTCCAATCACAATTTAGTTTCTTAGGTTGCCAACTCCTTCCAAAGTTGTTTCCCTTTTCTTACACCAGAAACKTACAGTAACAACTCTTTGACAGTTATGGGAGTCTACTTGTCTTGAAAGTTTTTTGAACATGTTTAAAATTTCCACGGTACCAGAGGAACGCAGCCTTGGTTTAGACAAGAACATTGGGAACCCCAGCAAACATTTCAGGACTTTCTGAAAACTCCTTTGTAAAAACTGGCCCCAATTTGCTGCTGTTAGGTCTGTGCACAAAGAACCAAGTGAGCAGATGCAAAAACACCAGGAACTCTGAAGGGAAAGGAAAGGAGAACTGATTTATTACAAAAAATAAAAAATAAAAAAATCAAAATGCTGACATGGCAGCAGAAAACGTACTTACAAGGAAACTCTGGGAGAAAYCGCGAGGAGAACAAGCCAAATTGGCTGTGGGAAACACAATGAACTGACAATAAAACAAACAAGACATAAAACATAAAAGGGACCCTAAACGTAAATTACTAACACCCGTGAAGGAGACAAATGGGAAGAGGTGAGAGTGGAAAGGACCAGGATAAAAACAAGAGGCACACACAATGGCGAATAAAGAAACACTAGAAAGAAACAAATATCCCTACAGTTGTCAATAGTTGAGGTCCTGTGAGACAGTGGCTTTAGAACAACTTTTGGAGGAAGAGTTTTCTGGTCTCCTGACTGCTTTGCAGCCCTTGGTTCAACAGTTTCAGCTTCATTTTAATAAACTGTTCAACCTGAGGTAAGGAATAGTATTTTTTTTTTACCATAAACTGTAGTCGATTTATAACCCAGCATTAACAGAAACTACTCAACATAGATCTCCAGTTTTTAAACTTGTCAGGGTTCAAACAGAGTGACAGCAAAGGCTTAGAGTCTTCTGAGGCTAAAAACCTTGCACATTTATAATTCCTTCAGCAAATTTCAGTGGGATCCTGGATTGGATTGGGATTTGGTGAGTTTGGAGGCTGGGTCAATACGTTAAGCTCATTTGTCTTGTTCCTCAAGCTGCTTGAACAGTTTTAGCAGTGCAGTGGGGTGTACTGTCCTGCTGTGGGAAGCCCCATGCTGTCAGGGAGAGCTGTTTTTATTGACAGAGAATTGGCACAATGTTTTACATCTCAAAGCAAGAACCACATGAATCCCAGGACCCAAGATTTATTTGTTGAACCTTGGATTGCCACAAGATGATCGGGCTTTCCCTGTCAGCTGGTTAAAGCTTTATACCTGCTCAGTTTATTTGAATATATCAGAWGTAATACACCCACTTTAAGATGGTTATACTGCCAGAACCTGGTTTCAGTGGACAAACCTTGAGGGGTCTGACTGGTGTTTAACTGGGAAGGGAGAAAACAGAGCTTMACTAACATTGTGGGGTTCAGCTGTTTGACTGATGAATAAGAAATGGCACAGAAATGCTAATGTGGACCAAATCAGTTTTTCCACAAAAAAGTKTTTTAAATTTTAAACAGCCCAGTGCAACAGTGGTCTGTGTATGTTCATGAGTTTCTGTGTAAATAAATTAAGGAACAGCCTTGCAAAAAAGAAAGGAAAAAAATGCTTCAAGGTTTTCTTTTCTCTCTCTCTTATTAAAAAACATTTGTTTCATTTATCACATCACCCATGAAAAATAGATTTTATGCATTTTTCAGCACATAGTCATGTTTGCATCAGTTTACTTCTCATGCCTTCAACAACATCTCTGACTGGTCTGGATAGCGCCATCGCAATGAGTCTTAATAGTTTTATAGCTGATGCATGAAAAACTAATCTAAATGAAACTCTGGGTGAAAGCAAAATGGACTTCTATCCATCCATTATCTCCCTTTCACAGTCACAGTGCGAGGGGTGGGGTACACCCTGGACAGGTCCATCACAGGACCACCCAAAGAGACAAACAACCTGTCACTCTCTCACTCACACCTAGGGAAAATTTAAAGTTACTAATTAAACTAATGAAGAAATTTATAGTTATTACAGATTAGTACTGATGTTAGAAACAACACTAGATTATTAGGGTTTCCTTTTTATAATATTTTTATAATGTTTGATATATTATGTTTTGATTGATATAGATTAGTTACATGTCCAAATTATAACGACACATAATTAAAATGTTGTAATAACAGTAGATGAGATTTTTGTATGAATGCKTGTGATTCAGCCGTAGGTCAGTAGGGGGCGAACTCAGGCATTGAAGAATAGTGTATAAAAAGATGTACTTCTTGATTTTTAGTCAGTGTGGTTTTCCTTGTCAGCCCGGTGACAAATAAACCTCACTCGGGTCCAGAATTCTGGTGTTGTATGACTTTATTCCTTTCACAAATCATTTTATTTAACAATTGTGTTTTCATCTTGACTTCAGTCGTATTGAACATGAATTTTTTTTACACTAAAGTGCACGTTTTTGCTCTGTGAAAGGAAGTCAGAGTACCTGGTGAAAACCCACACACGTAAAAAGAGAGATGCAAATGCTACCCAGAAAGTTTCCCGGCTGGGATTAGATTTGGCAAKCTTTTTGTTGAGAGGCAACAGCTCCACCAACTGAACCACAGTGTTTCCATGTATATCATTTTACAAGACATCAGAAGACTCTGGCAAACACATTTTGACAACGTGGTGACCTCTCCCTTCTTTGAACATAAACTTCTACTTGAACACTCTCATAGTTTTGGATTGTTTTGGCTTTTGTATATTGAGTGTTTAATATTTGTCTCTTTCAGAAGACGGTAARGCTAAAGGACTGAACAACCCATTGGGTGTTGATGCTCACAGGTGGAGATGCTCTCTTACCACACTCCAACACTCTTTCAGAGAACATTAATCAGTGTGGGATTATAAAAAAAACTTGGCTGCTCTGATATGTTGCTGTCACTCAAGCTGCTAAGAGCAGCACGAGTCGCAGAGTGACTCCTCCCCTATATTATGTCGCACAGATCAAAATATGTCCAAGTGTGTCTTTGTAGGGTTTTAAGTTTCAAAATAACCTGACTATTACCATGGTTATATCTGTGCTGCTGCATACTTTTAGCCAGTCTTTGTGTCAATAAAGATTGTWTTTATTTTCTCCTCTGCAGCAAGGAGTATGCAAATCTAGAAAAAAAATCCTTTCAGTTGAAATCTGAAAGGAGTTCAGTGTGTTCTGACTGAAACAAATCTGCAGCTGGGTGGTCCCCGAAGCACTGCTCTGACCCATCTGTTCAGACGTAGCAGTGACAGATCTGCGACTATCTCACTCGGATGTACAGGAGCTGCAGAGGTGGAGTGTTTCAGTCCCCCTCTTTGTCTCTGTGTTTCTTCTGAATYGAKCGAGGTGGTCAGACCARATGTCAGGAAGGGTTTAGGGCGTCTCCTGAAKGAGCTTACTGTTGTACTATAAAGAGGTACACAACTGAGTCAGATATGTTGAGCTGACAGTCAACATTTTTATTATAGTGAAGGAGTGTTTCTAAATCCCCATTATAACAGAGCCTTACCCCTAACCTATGTATGAGCAGGCTATGAACTAAGAGTTTTGATTAACTGTTTATAAGAAGTAAAACACTACACAGATTCTGTTCGTACTTTTGTCCCAGACAGAAGTATCAAAGTGAACAACATTAACGTCATGTTTCTGCCAGGTGTTGTGAGACTTAAAACAAACATTGAACTGTCAAATAACATGCAAATTAAAAAAACCTGTCYCCAGTTCAAGTCAGTGAGCACGCTGTATTTAGGTGCTGATTAAATGTTGGTATTTTTAATTGTCAAACTTAATCACATTAAATGTTTATTCAGGGATATATTTTCATTTCATCTATGTTTTTAGAAAAAAAATCAAAACTAGATTTGGAAACAAACTCACCAGTGAGACAAAACCACTGCTTTATACCACTAAGAATCCTAAATGAGACTGCTGTGAGGATTGTGCAACACATTAGACCCATATCCATTAAGCAACATCCAAAAGGCTGCATATGTTTTTTCACGTGTTTCACGATATAATTTGCTCACATCTATTAGACAGTTAATACTTGATGTAAATTAAGTTACATTACATTAGAGAATAAGTGGTAAATAACATGTTTGACCAGTAAGGTGTAATAACCTCCTGACTGCGGAGTTAAAGTGTAATATCTTTCTGTTCCGACTTGAACAGCAGCAGGATGTAATCTCATTTATAGATTACATCCGTCTGCTAACAGTTTTCTGCAAAATAGGTGYAATACTCTTTCTTTCTTCTAATTCTGACAACAGTGTTTTCTCTGTTTGAATCTTTATATTCTTCAGTTTCCATTTYGGATGAGTAGTCCTTTCTGATTGAAGTCTTGGGGATAATCAAAGTTTTTTTGTTTTGTTTTTGTTCTTTCCTGTAACTTTATTGCTTAGCTGCAAATGAATTGAATGACTCACCAAACACTGTTTTACATGGGAAATTCAGCAGACTAAATTATAAATTCTGAGTTAACAAACACTATCAAAATGATTGTAGTAACTCTAATTTCTTAGCAGAGTTTTAGGCTTTGTTAAGCCAGGCTCAAGGAAACAAAGCCCTGTTTTGTTTCACCTTCATAGTGCAGCTCCTAGGTTGGAGGAGTTTTCTTTATATTTTTATTTTCCTGGAATTGTTGCTGCCTTAAAATGGTTGACTATCACAGGACTTCATTGATTTGAATGTGCCTCCAGTGTTCTGACGTTTTGTTTAAATCTAAAGTAAATTGGTTTGATATCCATTTTTTAATAGGATTTTAGCCTGATGGATAAAAACGTACAGATATAAAAGTCACACCAAGTGGTCYTTTTAGAAAAAAAATGCAATAATGTTCGGAGGACAGTGTTCACATTTTAAAGCATTTTAAGCTTTAAAGAACAGGAAAATGAGATGGAAGACTTTAATATGAGACAATTCCACAAATCTCCCTCCTGTAAGTTTATCCCTTTCTATTTTTTTCCACCAGTTTAATCTATGGTCTTTTCTAAACCTAACCAGTTGGTTTTCCTGCTTAATCAAAACTACAAACTATAATCTGTTTTTTTTTTTTTMTTTTTTTTTTGCACATTAAAACGGCAGGATTTGATCCCGGCATCAAATCTCTCTGCAGTGGGAGCATCTTTCCAACACATCTGAGAGCCTCTCCTAGCCTTTGTAGTCTTTAATGCCCTGGGAATGAGAACAGGTTGTTATAAGCTGCGACTCAGTGGGCAAGCACCACAGATATTTGAGATAAATCCTGCAGTAATTACACGTTTTTMGCGGTTTTCATTTTGCTCTGAGTAGGATTTTCAAAAATGGCATTGACTAAAGAAGGGAAAAAAATCAGCCTGGAGCATCAGAGGAGAGTTCTACACTTGATGTTTTCAAGCACATGGTGTTTTTTCCCCCCCTCTCAGATTATGGAAACACATCACGGATCACTCAGCTGGAGGGGAGATAAGAGAATTTAACGCAGAGTCAGGCCCCACTATGTGGTCTTCAACGGTAATACAAGAGGCTCGCCACAAAAACTCTTGCATTTGGTGTTTTTACTGCCGTAACAGGATAGGATTTATTTATGTCAGAGATCTTCTGAGGCTGTAGATATCAAGAAGTTAGTTTATAATTGCTAAATAGGAGAAACAAAGTTTATCTCTAAAGTTGAGCTTACCTGAGTAAGTGCTGTGCATAGAGCAAAGATCCAAAGTGCCACCAAGTTGTCATTTAGCCAGTCCTTTACCCGCTCGTAACACGGCTGTGGAAACAAAAACACACGGGCACAAAGCATGAGCAAACACTATAAGGTGAATTCATTTACTCTGCACTAAAAAAGACAATTTAAAAAGGAAATCTTCTCCTGTGTGAAGAAAGTGGTTAAAAATATGTTTTGGCAGAAACACATGGCTTCGTCTTTGTCTACCTTGACCCAAAAAATTCTTGAGGCAAAATTAAAGCAAGCTCCTAAAATCCTTATCTTCATTCAGGGGTAGAAACAATAACATTGAGTGGAGACATTCCTTTTTTATGTTTGTTGTTTTCTGAGTGCATTTTCTTGTCAGCTTGGAGGGTGGGGGGGGGAGGTCCTCTGATTTCCAGAAGACACTTTTATACACTTGTTAAAACATTTAATTTGTTTCTGAGAATGGTAACCAGCAAGAAATAACGTTTAGCATTAGCATGTGAAAACAGGTCAGCATCTGCCGGATCACAAATACAAGCAAATGATGAAGAAGACATTCATTGTTACAGCAAAATAAGTGGCTGTAAGAGTAGCTGAGAGCTGAAATCAGTAATGATGTAGGTGACATTTACTATACGACTTAACAGACCTTTCACAGACATGTGGGCCAAACTGTGTGTTGGATTATGATTAATGCAGAGGAGGAAAGACTGCCTGATGTGTTGCAGAAAAGAGGAAAGTGTTACCGTAACAGGCTACTTCACTGTTTAATTAAATTATTCATTTTTTGCAAACACAGCTTCATGATTGAGCCATTTTTCAAATCTTCCTACATCGAGAAGCTGAGTCAGATCGAGGAAAACCAAACTCTATCTATCTATCTATCTATCTATCTATCCATCCATCCATCCATCCATCCATCCATCCATCCATCC